ATCAGTGTATATGGAGGAGCTGGTGGTCGAGGTACCCGGATCTCCTCGTCCCCCTCACCAAGGGGCTTCAACCTAGCTGATGGTTTAGACCCGTCCGCTGACGAGAAGACCACCATGCAGAATTTGAATAACCGCCTGGCCTCCTACCTAGAGAAGGTGCACTCCCTGGAGAAGGCCAACGCTGAGCTGGAGCAGAAGATCAGAGAGTGGTATGAAAGTCGCCCTGATGTCACATTCGACCACACCATATTCCTGGACACCATCAAGGACCTGAGGAACAAGGTAAGTTCAGAGTGGAGTGGGGAGTGCAGACAGGTCTTCGGACAGAGAGAGAGGTATTTGAAACATGATATACAGGCATGATATTAGTGTACTTCTCTGTACTGTGAAGCTAAATACAGTTTTCGATAATTAAAATGACGCAAAACTAAAATATAAAAATTTGTTTGTTTTTTTTTAATGAAAAATTCTAACTTAAAAAATAGTTGACACTTTGCCTAGTCAACTGACTGAAATAAGTTTAAGTTCAAGTTCTGAAACTAAAGCTGAATAGAAATGACTAAAACCTAAATTAAAATGTAAACTGAAAATATAAAAATAAGAATCTAAATATTAATAAATACTATAATAGTATATAAATAATACTAAAGTAACACTGACAACAGAAAACTAATTGGCTTGTGGCATTTTTATTAGTTTTAGCTCTTAGTTTATGCTGTGTCTGCGGTGGCATCTAGACAAATATATGTTAAGAAACAGACTGAACAAGTTTTGTTGCCCGAGTTGGCTTTTGTTCCACATTCTGTGGCTGCACTGAATTCCACAGACACCAACAACCAGCTCTAAAAATAAATGACTCCAGGTGCCAGAGTGTTTATTGTGCAATAGACTAATCCATGTTTTCCCTCTCATTTGGAATTCAGTGTTCTGAGGGTGTATTTTCTGCAGTCTACTAAAAAATCTGACATCACTGGCACCTGCTGTTTGTGTACCATCTGTATAATACATTTTTTTTACTGGCAGATTCAGCTGGCTTCCCAAGACATTGCCACATTAATCCTGTCTGCGGACAATGCCAAACTGGCTGCTGATGACTTCAAGCTAAAGTGAGAAACTGAATATATATATCTTGCCATTGATTTAATTGGTCATTAATAGAAAATTAATTCTGTGAACCATCGCCTCAGGTATGAGAATGAGCTGGCCATGCGTAGGGCCATTGAAGCCGACATCTACAATCTGCGGAAACTTCTGGATGAGTTTAGCTTGAGGCGGTCGGACCTGGAGGTGCAAATTGAGGCTCTGAACGAGGAGCTCATCATACTGAGGAGAAACCACGAGGAGGTACGATATATGACACATATTTCCCATCTTTGCCTCACTGAGCAGTCTTCAGTGTGGTTGTATGCCTGTTCTGTCTCTTTGTAAATCACTCATTTAATTGAATTAAAATGCACAGAACTCAGCTGATTGGTGTTTAGTTCAGCAGTGTATTATTATATATTCTAAAAGAGCCAATTCTAGCTGGTAAACAGCAGTAATATCACCATGACAGGATTTCTATTTAGGGCATAGCCCATGAGACTGGTCATTCAGATATTCCACCCACAAACTGAATCCTGTTTTACACAAAGCTGCTATGTAAGCACAAGTAACTTGGAAACATTTACACTGCACTGTATACAGTAAATAGCACCATAGTGATGTGGTAAGGAGATGTGATTAAAACTCAGAGCTGTTCAAATTTCTGATATTTCTTTCAGTTAACTTGCAAGCATACTGCTTTCTGATTAGCCTTCTAGCTTGGCACATACACATTACACTACTTCACTACCATTATTTATCCTTATTTCTACCACTGCTACAAGTGGATGGCTATTTTGCATGTCTACAATTAGGCGATGCGTTTTTGAACTGCTACCTCTTGTGATCCAAGGAGGATTCTGCAGGGAGATACAATAAGCAACTTTTATTGAAAATGTACTCAAGAAACCTTTCTTATTATCACAAGTGAAAATGGTTGCGCTACTAAATAAAGTGCAAAAAACATGATACAGTGTCTTTTTTCAGAACTCTCTGATAAACGGAAAGCTTGAAGAACAGCATTTATTTATAATAGAAATACTTTTGTAACATTATAAAAATGTTTTACTGCATTTTTGATAAATGTAACGCATCCTTTCTGAAAAAAGTCATCAGAAAATCATAGTGAAAATAAATCACAGTGATCCCAAACTTTTGAACAGTAGTGTATGTTTTCTGTAGATTAGTTAAAAATTAGTTAAAATCTTTTATTTTGATATTTATTGCTTGAAAACGATTGAAAGACAAATTCTGAAAACGATAGGTTACTGTAGCTGCCCATTATCGGCCATTTCAGAGATAACCGTTCCCACACCACAAAAACACAGGGTCATTAAAAGTGTTCCTTCCTTCCTTCCTTCCTTCAATTTTTCCTTTTTCCACTTGTTCTTCTGCTGCCTGCTCTGCTAGGGATTTTCCCTTCCGTTACAGCATTTTAAACTAAACAGTAATATCACTGGACCTCTGGGTCTATGAAAGGTCATCATTCATGCATAACCACTCTTAAGCACACACTAAAGAAGACTTTTAGAAAATTTCCAATTGATAAAATTGTTTTAAAATAGACAGAAATCCACAAGGGAAAACCAAATTTTCTCCTGAAAGACTAGGCTCATCCCACCACTCCTTCTTTTTATTCCTCTTAAATCTACAAATAGATGATTAATACCACGTCAGCATCATAATACTATCCATCTCTTCCTCTATGCCAGATCACACGGTTTCTGATATGTGTTTTCACAGGAGATGTCTCTGGCTAGAGCTGAGGCTGGAGGTCAGGTGAACGTTTGTGTGGATGCAGCGCCCTCTATGAACCTGATGCAGGCCATGACGGAGATCAGACAACACTATGAGACTATGACTGAGAAAAACCGTAAAGAGTTGGAGTCCTGGTATGAGACCAAGGTGAAGTTAAAACCACAAATGCATTTGTACTTGAGTGAATTTATTACATTTAAGTATTATTTTTGTTAAGTACTTTGAAACTGCATACCTGCACTTTTACTCAACTATAATTACAAATAAATAATCACATTTTTGATGCAACTTCATTTCTAACTTTAAAATGCAAAGTACATATATGGCAGGTTATCGTGACTTTAAATTAATTCTTTTAAATTTTAAATTATAACATTTAATCTTTTAACTACGTAAGAACAACTTAATGTGGAAAGCTTTTTTTCCTCATGTTTTGGCGATAATTTGTCTTTCCACTAAGTAAACCTTTGACACAATAACTACTGTTTTACTTAAGTATAAGGCCTTACACATCTGAAAATGACTGATTTGATGCATTTGAGTTTTCTGTTTTAATCACATAGACTTAGTCGCTCATCTGTGATTAACAGGGTAAAATATTGTTTTATAGTGGGATGCATGTGATGTTATTGCTGTTTTTGATTTTGTTTACTGCAGACTGCCGCAGTGCAACAGGAGGTGGTCACACAAAATGAAGATCTTCAGAACAGCAGAACAGAGCTGAAGGAGTTGACAAACACCTTACAGAGACTACAGATTGAACTGCAGACCCATCAGAGCTTGGTAAACCTGCACACCCTTGCAATAACACATTTATTTTTATTGCAAAACTCGCTTTTCTGTACTCTTAGCTCCTCATAGAGTTGTAGGTTAAAGGGAAGAAGCAATGCATTATAATTTCCAAGTCTGTGGCAACATGTCTTGGCAGAACATGTGTTGTGCCAGGCTGTTTTCTGTCAATGGGCTTCAGCCTCACCCCCCTCTACTTCACAACCAGTGCTCTGCCAACTTTAAGACTTTAAAAGCAGTCATGGGAAATGTGCTGTAATTTCCTATGTTTACACATGTAGAAGAACAAGAGATAGACTGTTTAAACAGGAGATAGTGTCTCATCAGTGTGGATTATTAGCACTGTTAACATGTAATTCTGCCCTAATGCACCAAATAACATTAAACAACCACAGTGTGTGAGTGCACAGTAAAATAAATATAATTAAATAATTATTGTAGGTAAATAATTTATAAAATTGGAGATTTTTTGTAATATTAATATACTAATGCCTATCCACAACAGAGGTCAGCCTTTGATGGTGAACTGGAGGAAACACAGGCTCATTACGGGGACCAGTTGGCTGGGCTTCAGGCCACTGTCACCAGCCTAGAGGACCAGCTTAGTCAATTTCATGCTAACATTGCCAACAACAAACGAGAGTACGAAACACTGCTGGATGTCAAGACCAGACTGGAGTGTGAGATCGCAGAGTACAGGAGACTGCTGGATGGAAATGAGAGGTGATGTTCATAAAAATAATAGCTCAAATTGATTGTATTTGAATTTGATATTAGAAAGTGTAAATCTTACGGTTCTTAAATGCTTTACTAACATCGACTCTCTTTCCCTCTGTTTTTACAGGGAGGCCCACAGTAAGTGACTGTTTTACAATAAAATATATATTTTGTATATTAAATATCACTCTGAAGCATCGTAGTGCATTGCTAATTAACTGTCTCCCATTGTCTGTTTTTAGAAGTTTTCACCAAAACGATCACTGTGGTGGAAACCATCGTGGATGGGAAGATTGTGGAGAGCAGCGAGAGTGTGGATGTTGATGAGCAAAATGACTAATCTGCTCAAAAACACACATCACATGTTTTAATAATTCCTTCTGTTCAAGTCCTCTGTATTGCACACTTACACAGTTGATGAAGCAATTGAAAGTTTGGTAGATTATGAACATGATTATCTGAATGTGAAATTTTTTTTTCTGTGCAATCCTGTCTGATTTCTATCTCTCTGTTTCTTTGTTAAATGACAATCACATATGCCTGATGTACTGCAAGCACAAATCTCAGAATGTATCATCATCCTTTAAGAAACAATGCATTGATACTGACTTAAAACAGTAAACAGATTTATTAAGAGACAAACCACAATAATGTTTTTGTGGCATCACTGATTTTATTCTCAACAACAGTGGATCACAAGGCCTGAAGACTGGTGTGACAGGTGTAGATGGGCAGTGTATTATGAAGTTTTGTGTTTATTTTGTAGTAGTTGACACCACTTCCCCATCAACCGTCTCTTTCACAATGGTCTTCACCTTGACGGTAGTGGTAGAGCTCACTCCTCCTCCTCCACCAGTAGTGGTAATGCTGACAAAAAGAGAAAATGTTGATACATGTTCTTCAGAAATGGCAAAACCCATTCAGAAGCACAAACACACACACACACACACTCGTTCTACAGTATCACTATGTTTCTTCCAACATCTCCTACCTGCTTGCTCCTCCATCCAGCAGTCTCCTGTACTCCGCGATCTCCATCTCCAGCCGGGTCTTGATGTCCAACAGCATTTTGTACTCGTGAGATTGTCTGTCTATGTCGGCTCTGAGCTGAACGATCTGCTCCTCCATACTTGTTACCTGAGCCTGTAGTTGACCCAGCTTCATGGAGTATCGTGCTTCTGTATCCGCAATAGTTCCCTCAAGAGACGCTTTCTATATAATAGATTGGAGGTGCTATTGTTTAGCGTCGACTGGAATAATAAGTATATACTGGGTAAAAAATGGTAGAAGTTCAACCAGCCTGCTGAAAAAACAACTTAATCCAGTCTAAAATGGAATTGTCATTCTTATCAGGTTCCCAACATGGTCAAGATTATCTGGTTTCAGAGGGATTTGAGCACCTACAAGCAGAATACCTGCTTGGAAACCAATTAGACTGGGAGACCAGTTAGACCAATGTAGACCAGCTTATACAAGCTAAAACCTGCTTAGAATGGCTTAAAATGTTTATTTCAGCAGCTGTTATAAAGTTACCATATTGGTATAGATGTATCCTAAAACACTTACTTTACTGAGTTCAGATTGTAACTCTATCTCCAGGCCTTGAAGGGTGCGTCTAAGCTCAGTGATTTCAGTCTTGGACACTTGAAGGGTCTCTGTACTGGCCGCAACCTCCTTAGTCAGTGTCTCTGACTGCAGATAAATAACATTCAGAGTTTAGTTAAGCATCTCCAAAGACCAAAACTTCCAGGATGAATTGTTTTAGTTTTGGCTCGTTCAGATTTATTTGCCGCCTTCTACCTTGGTTTGGAACCAGGACTCTAGGTCACGTCGGTTTTTGGAAGCGACTGCCTCGTACTGCTCACGGATCTCAGTCATCACACGGTTCAGATCCTCCTGAGGAGCTGCGTCCACCTCTACATTCACAGAACCAGTCATCTGAGTGCGCATGGCTGCCAGTTCCTACAAAGACAAGAAGAATTTGAGATTATGTATGACTCTTGAGGCACATTCCCTGAAATTGAATAGTGTTTATCAGCATTACATTTCACTGCCTTGCATTTTCTGGTCAGAGGAACTTGTCTGTTTTGGCAAGATCAAATGATCTTGTTTGCCATGTTGATAACAATCAAACAGTAATATCCTCTCATGATTGAGTTGGACAGGTTTTTACCTCCTCATGGTTCTTCTTGAGGAAGATAAGTTCCTCCTTTAAGCCTTCAATCTGCATCTCCAGGTCAGATCTTGCCAATGTCAACTCATCAAGGAGTCTCTTCAGCCCAGCAATATCTGCTTCCACAGATTGACGCATGGCTAGCTCATTCTCATACCTGAATGAATCAAAACAGAGCAGCTTATTAGCAACTTTTTCCCTAAGTATGAGGTTTCATTCACTGTAGGTTTGGATTTACTTGGACTTGAAGTCGTCAGCAGCCAGTTTTGCATTATCGATGGCCAGGTAGACTCCTCCATTGACACGGGTGGCATCTTGGATCTGTCAGAGATGGGATGATTCAAATAATGATGTTTTTGCAAATGCACAGCTTCCAAATATGCACTATTAAGATAAACATGCATAACAGTACATGGCAGAAATGCATGGCTTTGTTTCATTCTGATGTGCAGAAAACTCAATGAGAACATGACCACACCCTTAATCCTGCAGCTATGAAAACAAATCTTGTGCACGAGATGTTGTGAAGTTTTCTAGTAGCAGTACCTTATCCTGCAGGTCGCTGATTGTGGCCTGGTAGGCAGAGTAATCTCTCGCAGCAGGTGAGGTTTTGTTCTCCAGAAACTGTCTGATCTTAAGCTCGAGATCTGCGTTGGCCTTCTCCAGGGAGCGTACCTTCTCCAGGTAAGATGACAGACGGTCGTTCAGGTTCTGCATGGTTGCTTTTTCATTGATGGTCACGTTGAGGTCCATATTGCCTCCTCCAAAGCCTCCTCCAGAGCCAGCACCAAAGCCAAAGCCTGCTCCACCACCAGCGCCACCACCAAAGCCAAAGCCTGCTCCACCACCGCCGCTGCCACCAGCTGCAAAGGTGCTTGCCGCAGTGGAGATACGGACCCCCTGGCCTCCTGCACCCCCATACACGCTGCCAGTACGCATGGCGCTTATGCGGCCACCGCCTCCACTGCCAATCCCGGATGACCGAGACATGCCTCCTAGAGAAGCACCCCGCATGGAGCTTCCACCGAAGCCCCCTCCAGAAGACATAAAACTACGGCTGCTGAAGGACGTCATTGCTGGGCTGCAGAGCAGAGAGTCTTTTTGCTGGAAGGAGAGGGAATGTGGTGCACAGACGAGGCTGATTTATTTTTATATGTTTGTGGGATGAGGTAAGGGGTGGGTGGAGGTAGAGACGGAGGAGGGGGTGAGGGGAGAAAATGAATTCAAAACTTCACTCTCCGCCCAATACATGCCCAGAGGCAGAGGATCTGGCAGGTGAAATGACATGAATTGTTGGAATGAGCTCTAAATGAGAGCCCATAGCTCAGGGGTATGTGCAAAAGACAAGAAACACCAGAACATATGCACATATTATCTCAAAATATGAATGCATATATAAACTGCAACATTTTTTCACAGGCTGTGATTGTTTTGATATGTAGGACTTGATTTTCCCGTGCATGTCTGCATAGGGTCTCATGTTACTGCCATACGGTCTGTGTTACAGGCTTCATAACATGTGTGCTGACAGGATGACCTGCGCCTGCCAGCGGGGTTTCCTGGACAACGGAGTGCTGGATGTGATAAACACTTATAAACAGCAAGCTAAAAGCACACAGTGAAATTGCGCGTGGAATGCTGCCAGCTTCCCCAGAACAGACCTCCTTTTGTCCTTTCAAACATAAACAGAACAAAAAAATAGCGAGAGAGAGAAACATTTTTCCAAAGTTAACTTTTAAATTGCAAAAGAGTGATCTGGAGACATACTAGCATGGTGTCTCTAGTCTTGCGTAACAGTCTTTTTCTGAGAGCTTAAGCCATGACTCAGATACACCACTCCAGAAGGCTTTACTTTTATCTCAGAAAATTCTCTTATGTGTAAGAAACTTTAAACTGAGAGCTTTGCTTTGCTTTGGAAAGCATGACCATGCAATTCAGCTGGTTCATTTCTATCAGCATGTTATTAAGGCATCATTGAAAAGGCTGTTGCATGAAGATGTACATCAGCGTAATTGCTGGTTTGAACACATTTACGAAGGTTACATTGTAACTTTGTATAGCTGTCATTACACAGTCAAATGAAAACAATGGTGCAAAGATAACTGAACATGAATCTAGTGAAGGCTATATATCAAATGATTCATCAAGTTTAACCGAGCGAATGTGCCTGTGGCTATAAGGTGTAGAATGATGAGAACTTCATGAGATATTGAATGACCTGATTTATTTGATCCATATGTGCTGCTTCCAAGCAAGCTCTTACTTGCTCTATTTTTAATCACAAATTCAGAGAATGTTTTCCTGGATTAAAAGATCACATTGTACCTGCAAGTCCACTAGAATCCTGATTTAAATGACATATTTATTTGAGTGCTTTTGTAAGCATGCCATGCGGGAGTTAATCCATTAATGACTCTAGTCTTAGTGAGCCTTTTACTTTCTCTGTGGGAATTTACTACTGATAAATGAAGCGAACTACAAATGTGCTTAAATAAAATGCAATAAGGGGACATGGTAAAGAAAAAAAATATATGTGAGATGAGAGTAAAAATGTAATTCTAAATTTGCATTGCACTCACATAACTTTTGCTAAATTGTTTTGCGTTTGCTCGAAAAAGTATTTTTATTAAGTTTGCTGACAAAAACATTGCAATATCGTTTTCCCTCCCAACTCATATTATTTCACAGACCACCTAAATGGGCAGTGATAGAAAAATATGAAAGGGAGGAAAATCTATACTTAAAAGATCCCTTTGCAAACACCATTAAGTGCAACAGGAATGCAAAACTTTTGGGAGAGAATGCAAAAACCATGAAACATTTTTTTTTACCTCCCAGCTCATATTTATTCTATCACCATGTCCCTTTAGGGGCTCTGTATCATTTTCCATTATCATTTTTCAAGTTTCTCAGCAACACTTTTGCAAGGAAACGCAAAGTTTCTCAGGGGAACACAAACTTTTGCAAACAAACATTTTCCTTACATTTCGTATGTTGTTTCTATCACCATGTCCCTTTGTCATTTTAGTAAGATTCTGTAAGAAAATGCAAAACCGTTATGAATGAATGCAAAAACACTGAAAAACATGTACCATACTGTATATACTGCTGTGTGAACCAAAGACTTTTATTAAAAACTGTGATTAAAGTAGCTAACAACTTATTTTCCTTTCCCTATTCGATAATTTTTTCCATCTGACTTTATAAGAGGGTTCTTCGTTTCTCTGCTGTTGACTGAATGTGTTGCAGAAGCTCAGTGTGTTTCTGTGTACTGGGTGTGGCACAGTCATAAATCTGCTCCATATTTGATCTAAAATAGAATAATGCTTCATATTGTCATTGTATAATATTGATATCAGAATGAAGGAAATCAATTACATTCTCTTTTTGTCATATATGGAATGCTAAAACTTACATAAACAGTCATTGTTTCACAGACAATGAAAACACTGTCACTACACATAGAGGGATTCATCCGAAACTCAAACTTTAAAGATCGAACTGGTTTTTCTTGTCTTGTGGTAAAATAATAAGTCCAGGGACTCTATAAAAGAACAATACTGTTTTATGTGCCTTTTACATGCCCTCCCCTATGACCTCTCTTGTTTACAAAGTTATTTAAAGTCTATCCTGCTGTATGCTGAAAAATTGCAATAACTTACTTGGACAATATGTTTAAATAATAAACAAAAAGAATTAACATTTGTTTTTCCTGTTTCACATGTAATTTACATCTTTATACACTTACTTGTGAAAACAGCACCAAATTATAACTGTTATTACAATAAGAGCAGTTGTATTATTGTCATAAGAGCAGATGTATTGAAAAGAAAGAAGAGGAAAAAAATGAAAAGATTTATTTGAATCGAATGTTTAAATTTGTATATAAAAGTAATTTCTGGATGAAAAACATATTAGATGTGGTAAGAAAGTTATGATTGTTGGATCTTGCATTATGCCAGTTGGAAATATACTTACAAACTGAAAAAATGTCTTTGTGATAATCTGTTAGCTGATTGCAAATAAGAATTTAGTAAAAAAAAAATAGCCACTGAAGCAATGACATGAACATTAATATTGCTGTAGGTCAGAAAAACGGATTAAAGATCTTTGAACAGTTCAAATATCTCTTGTAAGATTGTAGTAAGGAATATGACTTTCTTTCTGCCCTGCCCTGAATGAAGCACCAGTGTCTAGAATTACACCTATCTAGGATTCGGAGGTTTGAATGACAGCTCTGTCTTTTGTTGAGGTAGCCACCCTGTTATTGCCTGCAGGATGCCGGTTCATGACTCACCGTGGTCTCAGGCTTCCTGTTTTGTTCACCCAGTTCATGCCAATACTCGTTGTTCTCTGCAGCACTGGCAAACATCTGTGCAAATTCATTTCAAATCCAAATCCACGGTCAAAGACTTGGAGATCTTGAGGGTTGAATCACACACATGGTTGTTACTGTGTATGGCATGAAAGGTATAAACAACATGTGAAAAATTGCTACAGTACTTTTGTGTCACAGTGAATGCTGGGATCCTAATCACCACATTACTGAGGACTTCACATTATTACAGTTCATCTGTATATAAGACATTCCTAATGCAGACACAAATGAGTCCCTAAGGGGGCAGGGTGATGGAATAAAATATGAGATGTGAGGACAAAATATATTTCAAAATATTTGCGTTCACTCTCGAAACATTTGCATTCTCCTGCTAAACTGTAGTGTTCCAAAAGAAACTTAGCATTTACTTGCAAAACATTTCTCTTGCTAAATTGTGTACCCCAAGAAACTTTGCGTTCACTCGCAAAACATTTAGTTGTCTTGCAAAAGTATTGCGTTCCCCAGAAAAACTTTTCGTTCACTCATAAAACATTTGCCTACATTCTCTTGCTAAGATTTTGCATGTGCTTGCAAAAAAAACATTTGTTCTCTCACACTAAACTATTGCATTCCCCTGAGCATTTAATTGCAAAGGCACTAGAACATTTTCCCCTTCACCACAAATTATTTCCATCACAAAAGTTTTGTGACCAAACACAAAAGTTTTGCAAGTGCACGCAAAACCTTTGAAATATCATTTTTTCTCCCATCTAATTTTTTACCACCATGTCCCATTAAGAGTTTCAATGTGCAGTAAATGTTCTAGAATCTAAATCAAAAATCCATTAGAGCAGGCCGGGGTCCTCAAGTTCAGAGGCCAAAGGGGCCAAGACGGGCCGCCTGTTGAGTACCAAGGATACCTGTTCACCCAACCCTTCTATCTGCATTTGAGCGTTTGATTTCAACACATGGGTGTTACAGGGAGTTGCGCCTCCCTGACAACTTTCTCTCTTCTGAGCGATCCACTTGTCAGCGTTCCATTTCATCCCAAAGGTGATCAATGGGGTTCAGGTGTGGTCTTTGTGCAGGCCAGACAAGCTCTTCTTGACTTTAAGGACATTGCTTTGTGAACCAAAATGTTGACTGTAGGAAGCACTGAATAACATTGTATTTATTAGCATTAAGGTTTGTTCTCACTAGAGTTAAGAGCCTAACCAATACTGTTAATTGGAAGGGGGTGTCCACATAATCTTGCAAGTCAAATGCAATGTAAAGACATGATATTACGCACCCTCTGTGATAATTGGTCTCAGAATTTTAATTTCTCATGATCTGATCATGTTTTGTCAAGGATTTAACCTGTCATGCAGAAGCAAAACTCATGCTAGATTCATGGGTGGATTCTTCAATCTGTTGTTGCGAGGATTAACTGTTCAGGTGCATGATTAAAGAGCAGATCATTTGTAAAAAAGTGTTTTCTTTTATTATTATTGTTACTTTTCCAGTTTTTTGGGCCCCCAAAATGTATTTATCACAAACAAATTAATTGATCATTATTAAATAAAAGAATTAAATATTCAGCATAGCTAAATTAAATTAATGATAAAGAGGGATAAAATGACAGTGTGGGTCTTAGCTATACATATATACACTGAACAAAATTATTATAAATGCAACACTTTTGTTTTTGTTCATGAGCTGAACTCAAAGATCTAAGACTTTTTCTATGTACACAAAAGGCCTATTTCTCTCAAATATTGTTCACAAATCTGTCTAAATCTGTGTTAGTGAGCACTTCTCCTTTGCTGAGATAATC